AAGACTCAAGTTCCTGGAAACTGTAAAGTTAAGTCCATACTTCACTGCAAAACAATTCAGAACTGTCACTGAACTTCAAACTGTGAGAAGTCCCCAAACAAGGAACAGCAAGTAGGCTCAGCCTCTATTTTTTGAGTAAGTCATGGTCCACAGTAATTGCTGAAGTTGTTCTAAATGGAGAGCTGGCACAAGAGTGCTCTACAACTTGGAGAAGTGCTTGCTCGTGTGAGAACAGAGCCTACAGATGACTAAAATGTAGGTAATGTACAAAAAGAGTAGTGTGGACTAATCCCTTAACTTCCCTCCCTATCTTACCCCTTAGCACTTACCATGAGGCAATGGGTATGAAAGTGTCTGCTCAAGTGAGAGCAATGTCTATGGAAACTTAGACAAATAGCTAAAACAGTGTGTGGGGTAGCTGAGTTAGCAAGCAGAATCTGGGAGAAATGGTGTATCAACACCTACAAAAATTTCTGCTGAGTTATTCAGCCCAGTCATTTGTCCCAACCAAGTCTCTCACCACAGTTTTACTTAAAATATTTCAAAAATATGAATTCACCTCATATTCTCATTTAATATTCCCTAAAAGTGAGGCACACATTTGCCTTACTTAGTTTCCTTTTTGTGATGCAATACGGTGCCACGAATTCTGTGGCTTAATCACATTTATTATTTTATAGTTTGGGAGGTTAGAATTCTAAAACATGCCCATGGGGCTACACTCCTAGAGACTATAGAAGAATCCATTTTCTTGTCTTTTCTACCTTCCAGAGATCACCTACATTCCTTAGGTTGTAGAGCCTTCCTCCATTTTCAAAGTCAGCAGTGTAGCATCTATTCTCTTCTCTGATCTTTGCTTCCATCCTTAAATCTTTTATAGATTCTACTGCATCCCCTCAAGGTTATGCTGGGTCCACTGGTATAATCCAGGATAATTTCTCCATATCAACATCTTTAAGTTAATTTCATCTTCAAAGTTCCTTTTGTCTTGTCATGTCACATATTCACAAGTTCCAGGTATAGGTATGTAGATATCTTTGGGGGTTGAAGGCCTACCATACCTTACACAAGCTATTACTCTTTTATCTTAACAATATCTCTGTGATATACCCTTTTGTGGTTGGAGAAACTCAAGCTTAAAAAAGGTTAAATAACATTGTAGACTTGACACAGCTTGAAAAGTGCAGAACTAAGCATGGAAAATCCAGCAAGGCCAATGAAGACCCCCACCTTGTTTTTTCCTACATCTGTCCCTTTTCTCATCACCTTCCCTTCTGCTTCTATCCTAAGGGGGTACAAACACTTTCTTCCATGTTAAGTCTCCTGTACCACCCAAAGTATACTCAATTGGAAAAGTTGTGAGGTGTGATGGGAGAAGCTAGGACTTAGGAATCTGAAGATGTGAGTTCCAATACTGACACTCACCAGAAATGCTATGATCCTAGGTGAATAAATTTACCTCTCTCTAGTGTTACTGGTAAATATAAGTTATTGTAATAATTTGAGACTGAAGGTAGTTTAGGCACATAACATGGTAGCCTAACACATCAATATTACTTTCCTCCCTCTTTTTGTATTCCTAGATCCCTCACAGGTCACTTGTTCTTCCTCTGTCATGTGCTACTTACCCCAAACAGTTTAGTGGTCCCTAATGTCCCAAGACATAATTTTATCATTTCCTCCTTGTGGGGAGAGACAAAAGTGTTTGTTCTCCCTCCCCATGGCCTTGGGTATCATACAAGATAAATGACATGGGCTCTTCCATCCATGCCACTGGACAGGTGGGATGGGATAGAAGTTTCTTTGTGCTTTTAGATAGCCATAACTATTTACAATGATGTATATGTTGTAGCTGTTTGGCATATTGCCACTTTTGTTCACTTGGGTATAAAGGAGAAGGAGATTTGTTGCTTGTAGGGAACCTGTTGTGCTACCCCCACACACCCCACTGCTGCCATGAGCTAAATAAAGAGCATGTCATATCTGCCTTCTGCACCCAAGTTTTTCTTCCACCTATCCAAAGTGAACCGTTTGCACAAAACTCCTGTTAAAGCATTTCTGGTGATATTTTTACTATTAAATACAGGATATTTATTGACTAATAACCTCTGTGACATTCTTATGTATTAATGTGATTTCTGTTAAGCTTCTGGGAAAACTGAGAATAGCCAACACCCTAAACCCTATTGTTGATTACATCTTTGGGGAAACTAGATGGGAGCTATGGCCCTAGGTTTTACACTACCTAAGGATAGGCTCTGTTCTACCCAGGGCGCTTCCAACAGCTGCTTTGTCCTTGTGGAGTGGTGCAAAGGTTCACTCAAATGAATGCAATGTAATGCCTCCTCCTCAATCAGCTGGTTAGTGGACAGAAAGGAATGTAGCAACAGAAATACACTGCCACAAATTGCTTTATAATTGGGAATGATGAACAGAAGCTCTCAAGAGGCTATAAATAAAGTTTTAGAAAGTGACAACTGGGAAAAAAATTAGTTTATCATATTACATTTCCATGAAATCCCATCAGAATGAAGAAGATATTTGAAAAAATAAAGGCAATTTTGCAGTGTTCTAGACACACAAAATCTCATACATATGAAGGGAAGAAGGGAGAGAGGGAAGGAGGGAGGGAGGAAGAAAGGCAGGGAGGCAGGAAGGAAGGAAGCAAGGAAGAAAGAGAAGGAGGGAGAGAGGGAGGGAAGGAAACCTGAACTCAGAAGAACCTATTCTAATTCAGAACTGCTGGCGTGTGCTATAGGACTTCAGAAAGCCTCATGAGAAGTTTAGCAGACAAAGCTGGAGAAATCAACCTTTTCTCTTTGCACAGATGATATATCAGACCACAGTATGTTAGGAGTATTCATCAAGATCAAAGGGCTTATAAGTGACATGGGCTGGGCCAGAGCTCTTGTTCCCAGGTCTGAATTCAGTGACCATTCCTTTATATCAGGCACCTCCTTTCTACACATGTGCAGTGGCTTGGCCTTGCTGAGTACAATTTAGCTGGCAAATCTCCTTTCACAGCAGCACACACTGTCCCACCTGAAAATTCATTCACCAGGGACAGCCATATTCGATTTCACTAACTCTACCAAGGCCAGGGAGAATCAAAGACTATGGCCAAGACAGAGCCCCTTTCCTCAGTGGAATTACTATCTACAGTTATGTCAAGTAAGGATTTATTCCCTTTCAGACAAATGTACATAAAGTTTTCACTAGTTTTTTTTTTTTTTTTTTTTTTGAGACAGAGCCTCAAGCTGACCCCCTGGGTAGAGTGCGGTGGGATCACAGCTCACAGCAACCTCCAACTCCTGGGCTCAAGGGAGTCTCCTGCCTCAGCCTCCCAAGTAGCTGGAACCACAGGTGCCTCCCACAACGCCCAGCTATTTTTTGGTTGCAGCTGTCATTGTTGTTTGGCGGCCTGGGCTGGATTCGAACCCGCCACCTTAGATGTATGTGGCTGGTGCCTTAGCCACTTGAGCCACAGGTGCCGAGCCAGTTTTCACTAGTTTTTTAATAGTTAAGAGCATGGCATATGTACCTTTTTCATCATTTATTCCTTCAACATGCATTTATTACATGCCACTCTCACACATTGCTTGAAACACCTTGAAAGGCAAAGTCTGTGCTTACTATGTGATAGATGCTTTTAATATATTATTTTATTTAATTCACACAACTCTGAGGCTAGTACTTCAATTAGTTCCTCTTTACAGATAAGAAAACAGACTCAGAGAGATGAAGTGGCTTGCTTAAGCTAAAATTTTGAATGGCATAGGAAAGATACACAGTGTTAGTTGTAGCGCCTCCTTCAAGGAAGAAAAAAAAAATACTCATTACCCTTTGAGACAAGCTTCAGAGAGGAAAATGCCTGTGAGCAGGAAGATGGAATTTAAATAACCGGGGAAGGGAGGAAAGGTACTTCAGGCATAGCAAACAGTGAGCAGAAGCAAGGAGTTAAGTTTCAGAGCATGCTCTGAAAGAAGCAAAATAAATCAGGTGTCCAGGAAGGCTGGAGCCTAGAAACCTTGGAGACAACCCACAGTTCATCACACCTCCCCATTTCCCTTCTTCAGTCAGTCTATAAAGCCCTTCAATGATCACCCTTAAAATGCCTTTCAGTGTCCATCCCCATGGCAACAGCTTTAAGCTCACTTTCATTCTTTGTGTTTTCATTCTGATCACTTCCTATGTAGTCTTCCCGGAGATGGTCATGAGGCTGTTCAAATGCAAACAGGATCCTGTTACAGCCCTGCTCAGTAACCCCCTCAATATATAGCACTTTAAAGCCTCCTTCACCCCGCTTGCTTTTGCAGTCCCATATCCTCACTTCATCCAGCCTTTTGGCCATAACAGTATTATTCAGGTCCTTGACGAGCCGGAATGATTAGTAAACACATAAAAAATGCCTTCTGAAAACAGGGAGAGTGAATGAATAAGCTATGAAACCCAAGACAGGAAAGCAGCGCTGGGGACAGCTGATTCTTTCCAAGAATGTACCCTCCCCCATCCCATCCCAGAAGCACAGCCGGCCTTCTCTAGGAAAGGTGTAGAGACTCCTTCCCAAGCCCCCAGAGCCCATCTTGGACAGACTGAAGAATAAAGCAAGCCTAAGCTTTTCTTTTTAAACAGGAATATCCCACCCCTACCACTTCCTAGCTGTCATCCCCTGCAGGTACCTGCCGCTTTTCCAACTAGCCAGCGGAAATCCCAGTGGTGGACCAGCTCACTTCCTCTATGGTGTTTGGCTAGTGCGTGTCAAGAGAGGCGGGGCTGATTCTGCTGAGCTCTCTCTGGCTTGCATCCGCTGTTAGGTGCTGTTGCTGGCTACTAGCGAAATCGGGTTGCGTGAGAACAAGCTTTGTAACTGAGAAGGTCTGGTTTGTTACTACAAAGACGTTGACGTTGGTGACTTCAGCCACAGCAGCTTCTTAAATCAGAGAGAGTTGCTTTGTGCAGAGGCTACAGGCATCCTTCTGTAGGACCCCCTAGCGGTAGACATGCCTCGGGGACAAAAGAGCCGGCATCGCCATAATGCAAGGGCTGCAGAAGAAGAAAACCGCAATAATCGCAAGATTCAGGCTTCAGAGGCCTCTAAGACCCTGTTGGCCGCCTCTGTGGTCCCATGCACCCTTGAAGACAACCTGAGCGGCCCAAAGGAAGATCTGAGCACTCTGGAGAAGACCTCTACTCCCCCTGAAGAAGCCTCCAGCACTGCTCAAGGGCAAAAGTCTTCAGTGGTCCGGAGCAATTTTCAGGGCACCAAGAAAAGTCTCCTGATGTCCGTATTAGCTCTTATCTTCATTATGGGCAACAGCGCTAAAGAAGCCCTGGTCTGGAAAGTGCTGGGGAAGTTGGGGATGCAGCCTGGGCAGCAGCACAGCATCTTTGGAGATCCAAAGAAGATAGTCACAGAAGAGTTTGTTCGCAGAAGGTACCTGATTTATAAGCCAGTGCCCGGCAGCAGTCCCATTGAGTATGAGTTCTTCTGGGGCCCTCGAGCACATGTGGAATCGAGCAAGCTGAAAGTCATGCATTTTGTGGCAAGAGTTCGTAACCGATGCTCCAAGGACTGGCCATGTAATTATGATTGGGATTCAGACGATGATGCAGAAGTTGAGGCTATCCTCCATTCAGGTGCTAGGGTTCATTCTGCCCCCTAGGGAAATCTGAGGCAGACCCTGGGGATGTGGGAAAGAGAGTTAAAAGTACCCCAAGGAGTAGCTAACTTGAGTCCTGAGTAGAAAACAACTCGGATTGGGGTGGGAGGAGCACTATATTTGGTATTTTTGGTCAATGCTAATTAACTGCAAAATAGTGTTTGCTTTGGATATTGTAAAGTTGTATTGATTTTATAAAGCTGTTGAGGATCACAATATGTTTAAAATATGATTGAAGTCTTTTTTCCTTTTCTTTCTGTCATTGAGGATTAGTGTAATAGTTTTCCTAATGTTATAAAGTGAAGTTGTTCCATCATACTCTGTGAGCTGGTATAGAATTTATAACATTGAAATAGGCTGCCGTGGGAAGTTAAATAACTAGTAAAATGTGGGAGAAGGATGGAAGATTTGTTCATAAATGACCTTTATGAAACCCTGTGTCAACTGTGGTCTGAAGATTGACATTTACCATAATTTAGCTCTGTAGAATATAGTGAAAAATAAAAGCTTAGTGACTAAAGCTTTCATTTATTAACCGCATGTTGTGTGAAACATGGGTCTAGATTCCAGGAATATTCCTTGGGACACAGTCCCCAGGTTCAAAGAATATTCTAGATTATGTAGGAGAGAAAAATAAGTAAACTGGCAGTGCAGTAAATTCTGTGATAGGTACTGAGCAGGAGGTTCCAAGAAAATGTAGAACAGCTTATATGATTTTTCTTGGAGAATGGGGAGGAAAGGGGACATCACAGCACATTTGAAAAAATTCAACAGATGCTTAAATAAACTTGAGAAGAATTGAAAAGGGCATGAGAGTACACTATGAAAATATTTTGTAACAAATATTTTATTGGATTCTTAACCAGCTTAGGGGAGGGAGCATTGCCAAAAGGGAGGGGGCATCACAGAGTGCTGTGTAAATAGAAAATACACTTAAATCATCTTGAGAGGAGGAGAGCAGAGCAGAAGGGGTGGTTACAGGAAAAAAACCTGTCAGGGGATAATGTAGGAATAAAAAAGATGTGACTTTCAGAAAATTATTGGTGAGGTGACAACCTGAGATTTAGAAATACTATAGGAGATAGGAGGGGAGTAAATATGGAGGCACTTGAAGGCAGCATGGAGATTCAGGAAATAACAAATAATTTGCTGAGAACAAGGAATGAGGCAAGGAAAGAGGTGAGTGAGGCCAGAGCCTTGAAGGGTGGGTTTCATGGCTGACTTTAAACAAATACAAGTGGAGATGATTAGCAATAATAATAATCTTGGAATAGTGAGGGTCATGAGGGAAAAGGCTCTAAAAAAGTCAGAGCTTCTAGGATATTCGATGAGCCAGAGAGAAGACTCTACCCATGGCATCTTGGAAAGGTACCCTTGAGCTTCTTTCAGGATCTCTGGGTTTGTTATGGTGTACACACTGTTGAAAATGCATGCATGGACTCACACACACCTGGGGTAGTGTGTGTGTGTGTGTGTCTCCAAGAAGGTGAGTTAGCATTAGCATTTATACTCTCTCCTGAAGCCAGTGTAGTAAGTTCAGAGGGTTATCTAGCACAGTAGTCAGTTCAATAACCAAGTCATGTGGCATCAGTTTCTTCCGAATTTCAGGAGAATTCACATTTTCTTACCTCATGATAGCAAGGAGCTCAGTGCCCTTCTTCTCACACCAGGGGCTTCTACCCTGCAGCAAATCTGGAGACCCACACATTCTCGTCAACCTACCACATTTACTCCAAGAGACACACATTGTATGAACTGAGATAAATCCTTTCATTGGGAGCACTTAGTACAGGTGCCTACCCTAGCCTTGTGGGACTCAGAGGAGCAACTATCATATACAGAAGAGGGAGCAGCCAGGCTACCTTCTTCCTTCTTTCCCTCCAGTCTTATACTGCTGCCAGACATGTGCAAAGTTCAGTCACAGGTTGCAGAGTAGGCTATCCAATGACTTTCTGGCAAAGGCCTAGAGATCCACAGTTATCAGCCTGCAGGCCAAGGAGGCTTCAAATAAAAGTGGTAACTATGACTGCTCAGGAGCCCCAAATTCACTCAACAAGCCAGAAAATAATGAGAACCTTCTATGAGTCAGGCAGTGTGATAGAAACTGGGGCTCAGCAAATCCAATGACCTGTTTCTTGCCCTGGGGGGGCATAATTGTCAATACTACCTCCAGAGGTAAACAAGATGGGACATTAAGGTTGAGGTTATTAAGTGACTTTCCTATTTAGAGGTACAGAAACGGCAAGAGATAGATCCCAGACAAGACTCTATGGGGCCATTCCCTGAAAATGAAGAGTGCTCTCCTATAGGTCACCCTGCTGTCTCTGCCTGCCAATGAACTCACAAGGCCTCTGTCTTCAAAACAAACAGGTGAAGCCAGTGGGAGAGGTCTCAGCAATATCAACGGCAGCCCCCAATCCTTTGAGGATGAAACTTTAAATTTTCCCCCTTTCACAAAAGAGGGCTCACAGCAGTCAGTCAGCTAGTAAGTGGGAGGGACTGCAGAGCAGAGATTAATTGAGCAGTTGTCTGCACCAGAGGTATGGCATGTTATCTCTGCCAGGTAGGGATGATTATCACCCATTTTACAGGAAGGTCCAGCTAGCTCAGAGGAAGAGGCAATGTCCTTCCACAGCCTGTCTGAATCCATGCTGTCTTTGGCTCTGGTGATAAATAATCATTCCACTTCCTGAAATGATTCTTTGCAAGTAAGAGCCAAGAAACTGAATTCAGTCATAGATCCAGTCATTCCCAGTACAAGAGGAGAAAGACTGGGAGTATACCTATAGCTACCCTGTCAAAGAGATGATTACTGGAATCCTGAAGGCTTCAGGCAGGAGGCTCCACAAGGGGACTGGAAAACAAAGGACTGGGAGACCTTCCCTAGCCCAAGGACAGAGCAATCAGTGAGCCAAGCTTATTCACTTGTGGCCTGAAGGGTCATTCTCCCTAACATACACTGAGTACTGCAAAGAGTTAATCTTCATTTGATTAGGCAAATGCTGAGAAGATTTCCAGTGGCTGTGAAATGAATGACAGGGGCTGAGGGAGAGGCAAGGAAAGAAGCATTTCTGGAGGTTGAAGAACAGGGGAGAATATACACAATGGCCCTTATATAAATTATTTGAGCTGCATCCATATGGGACACCAAGCCATAATTTCTGTGAACCTGAAATTTAAACTGGCCTCACCTCAGTAGAGGTTCCACAAAGTGAGTAGTGAAAAGTGAAGTTTTAAGTGCAAGGATGCCTCTGAAGAATCTGGGTTGAGATTCTGGGTCCTAGAACACTCAGGAACAGAGTGCTCCAAACACCCTAATGAATAGCAAGAGTAGCAGCTGGCATGTACTGACTACCTACATGGTTCCAGGTACTTTGATGGTTGTTTTCATACATTGTCTCTAGTTTATGCAACAGCCGTTCAAGGAAGGTGCCACCAGGCCCAGTTTACTGAGGGAGAAACTCATAGTAAGGTCTCCAAAGCATAGTTCCAGGTTCATAGTTCACCTGTCTGGCCAGTGGCAGCCTCAGGCATAAACCCAGGGCCTACCAAGTCTAAAGCCCCCACTGCTCTTCTTAAAGAACAGACGCCATACTCATGACATCCAAGGCACTGATCAGCCTTGGGAAAATCTATTTTCAGCCTCCACCATAGCCCTGAGTTATAGTGAGAGAGGACATGCCAGAGTGAGGTAAAGAGTGTGGGAAAACAAGATTAATATGCACTTCTGGGATTAGCTGTGCACCTCTGTCCCTTTATTCCAATCTACTGTGGCCCTCTTGCCAAGCTATCTTAAGGGGCCTGGAATGAGTATTCTTTCCAAAAGAAATGAGTCTTTCTCATCAGAATACATTCCCCAGAAACTTCACCACCCTGCACGCTTTATCAGTCTTCTAATCTTAGGTGTTGGCTTTCCTACAGTGCACCAAGAAAACAGCAATGTTTCTAGGCCAAATGCATTGGTCACTGATGCTGTTGCTGATCCAGAAGGTACTGGCAGACCTCTTTCTTTGGGAATATCAACTAGAATAAGATGCCAACAGACAGTAAACTGTGGGCATTCATCCATTAAAAAAATAGCTTCCAAGAGTGTCCTTCTTGTGCCTAGTGTTGCAGCATTGGCCTTCACAACCAGGTGCAGGGAAGTCTATGGTCATGGCAAAAGAGGTTATCAGATACGGATTTGGAATGGGCCCTGAGAAATGGGTGGCAGCCAAGATTGCTCCAACTCCTTCCTTTGAAGAAAAGTAGAATTCCAGTGTTCTGAAGGAAATTATTTTGAAGGAGTGGTGGAGGTGGATAAGAGTAAATGCTATTAAGATGCACTGGCACCTTTACACAGGTCAATCCATGGTTTGTGAGCCATGAAACAGTTAAATATCAAAGAACTTATGTTCTATCTCATGTTTTAAAACCTGTGTGAAGGCACTTTGAGTAAGGAGGGTCTCAACTCAGCCAAGGCTACTTAGAAAAATAAAAGTAGATATAATTCCAGGCTATCAGACTCTACACTCTCCTTTTTATAGTGAAAAAGGCATAATGCTCACACAGAGTGAGTTGGAAAGGAAGGCAGAGCCCCCATACAGCAAGTGCAAACCAGGCCCAGTACCTAACTGGCCAACTGTGTGCCAGTCATGGTTCCAGTCGCATGAGATTTACAGGTGAGCAAACCACAAGCTCTCTTGCCCTCGTGAATGGTACATATGATAGCAAGGAAACAGAAAATAAAATGTAATCCTTTTATAAATAACTAATTATACAGTAAAGTAGAAGGCAACAGTCAGTTTGGGTGTGGTGAGGGTGGTGGTGTGGTAAGCTATACAGAGCAGAGGAAGGTGTATGGAGTCACTGGGAATGTGAGAGAGAAAGGAGCAGAGTAAGTAACTCAGTATCTAAGGGCAGGCAGCAAAGGCTCCATTGGAGGTGTGGCACTGGAAGAAAGGAATGAAGAAGGTGAGCTAGCTGTATGAAGGAAGTACTGTCCAGGAAGAAGGACCAGCTGGTGCAAAGGCTCTAAGACACATTTGAGAAAGGGCAGAGAGGCCAAGATGGCTGCAGTGGTATGACCAAAATGCACAAGAGCAGGTGATAAGGCCCAAGGGATTCATAGAATGCCATATCATCTAGGACCTG